CCTGGGAAGCAGCCCATGATGGCTCAAGTACTTGGCTCCCTTGCACACATATGAGAGACTCAAGTCGAGTTCCACGCTCCTGACTCAACCTGGTCCAGCCCTAGCTGTTGCAGACATTTGGGAAGTAAACCTCTAGATAGAAGATTTTTTTGTCTCTTTACCTTTCAAAAAATATGAAAATGGATAATAAATTTAAAAATTTTTTAAGTCTTCGTCAACTTGAGGTAGGCAAAGAATGGGTAAACTTACTTGTACCAAAAAGCGTGAAAAAAATGTATACCGGGGCCAGCATTGTGACGTAATAGATAAAGCCACTGCCTGCAAAGCTGACATCCCATATGGGTGCCAGTTCAAGTCCCTGCTGCTTTACTTCTGATCTAGCTCCATGCTAATGGCCTGGGAAGAGCAGCATGGGAGACCTAGAGGAAATTCCTGGCTTCAGCCTTGCCTATCCCTGAGCATTGCGGCTGTTTGGGGAGTGACCCAATGGCTTGAAGATACCTCTTTCTCTCTGTAACTGCCTTTTAAGTAAATAAATAAAACATATATATATATACACATATATATCAGCATTATTTCCAATAGCAATAATATAAACATAACACAAATGTCCATCAACAATAATGTGAGTAAATAAATGCAATATTAGCAATGAAATTAATCACTTCCTGCAGCAGTATAACTGGATTGCACACACATAATGGTGACCAGTAGCAGCTGAATACAAAAGGTTTGTGTGATTGCAGGGGAGACTTTTTAAAGGGTAGATAGTAATGGCTTTTCCTTGTTCTTCACTGATAATGTATAATACTCTGACTTCATCTACCAATTCTATGGGTGAAAATGAAAATGTCCTCATTTGATTTTTCATTTCTTTGCCAGTAAGATTATACATCGTTTTAATGTTTGTGGGTTTGGTTTTTTTTGTTTGTTTGTTTTAGGCAAAATATACAGTGTTTCAGAGCCTTGGTTCTGTCACTTAACCATGTGGTTTTGGTCATGATGATTCACCTCTGTGTGTCTTGCATTTCTCACTTTCTCATTTCTTATTCCTCAAGGCTGCAGCATGTATCAAGTGAGATAATATTTTTAAAGTGCTAGAATGCAGAGTACTAAGAAGTGCTTAGAACGTAGAAAGCACTATGCAGTATTTTTTATGTCTTACGTGCATTTTTCTTTTCTCTTTTGTCTTTCTTAGTAATTTGCAACTTCACTTTATATAAAGGGAAATTATATAAATAATGGAGATACTTGTGTTTTAGGTTTTTTTCTTTTTAACATGTAATAATTGCATATATTTACAATGTGATGTGTTTCAATACAAATATACAATGTGTACAATCAAATCAAGATAATTAACTTTCTTAGCTCCTTATCATTTCCTTTTTTTAAAAAAAATATTTAGGAAAGAGTTACAGATAGGCAGAGACTTAGAGAGGCTTATTAGGTCTTCCATCCACTGGTTCACTCCCTAAATGACCACAATGGCCGGAGCTGGGCCAATCTGAAGCCAGGAGCCAGGAGTTTCTTCTAAGTCTCCCATGTGGGTGCAGGGGCCCAAGGACTTGGGCCATCCTCTACTGCTTTCCCAGGCCATACCAGAGAGCTAGATTGGAAGAGGAACAGCCAGGACTCAAACTGGTGTCCATATGGGATGCCGGTGCTGCAGGCTGGGGCTTTAACCTGCTGTACCACAGTGGTGGCCCCTTGTGTATCTGTTTGAGAGGCAGAATTACAGACAAACAGAGGGAGAGACAGAGACAAAGGTCTTCCATCCACTGGTTCACTCCCCAAATGGCCACAATGGCCAGAGCTGGGCCCATTCAAAGCCAGGAGCCAAGAGCTTCTTCTGGGCCTCTGATGTGGGTGCAGGGGCCCAAGCACTTGGGCCATCAGCAGAGAGCTGGATCGGAAGAGGAGCTGCCATGACAGGAACCAGCACCCATATTGGATGTCAGTGCCACAGGTGGAGACTTAACCTTCTATGCCACAACACCAGCCCCTGTGAATCTGAGTTTTATGATAATTATTAGTACTGCATCTGCTTGCTTCTTTAAAACATTGTATATTTGGGTGTAAATAATATTTTTCTGAATTTGGTGGTTGTGGGTAGGAAGTGAAGGAAAAATGTACAAACAATTCTGCTTTGTGGTAGCTGCTCTTTTCTGTTTCTGTCTGGCTGATTCAGTGGAGTTCACTTGGATGTATACACCCTCTGCCCCTGTTCAGGAGCCAGGAAGATGAAAGGGTCAGTTTACCTAACTCTACCCTTGGGGTGGGAGGTACTAGTGGTGATCTGTTTCATATGAAGAATGTTTTATAGTTTTAGTCTCTTGGGCTACAGTTTTGTTAATTACTTATTTTATATAAGTAAGTTTTCTAAAAGTTCATGGGAAAGTCATAATATGAAGAACATGGATTTTTTTTTAAATTTTTGCACAAAAATCAAAACAAAAGTATCTGTAAAGAGCAAATGCAGGTGCCGGTGCTGTGGAATAGTAGGTTAAGCATCCACCTGCAGTATGAGCATCCCATAGGGCACCAGTTTGAGTCCTGGCTGCTCTACTTCCAGTCCAGTTCCCTGCTGATGGCCTGGGAAAGCTGATGGCCAGGGAAAGCAGTAGAAGATGGCCCAAGTGCTTGGGTCCCTGCATCCTTGTTAGAGACCCTGATGAAGCTACTGGCTTCGGATCAGCCAAGCTCCAGCCATTGCAGCCATTTGGGGAGTAAACCCAGCGGATGGAAGACTTCTCTCTCTCTCTCTCTCTCTCTCTCTCTCTCTGTCTGTCTATAATTCTGCCTTTCAAGTAAATAAATCTTTACGTTAAAAAAAAAAAAAGTAAATGCAAAACATTTTCACACTTGCACCATTTGTAACTGAAGTACCTGATTTGATCCTGAGGTGTAAGCTACATAGCTAATGCCACAGTACCTGTCTGTCCTGGCGTATCTGTGGCACTGTTTGTGACAATGGAATGGGGCAGCCGAGTTAGCTATTATGTAGAACATTAAGTTATAAATATATAATGCATTTCAATTGAATTTTTTCAAAATCATTAAGTGAAATACTTTATTTCTACTAAGTAACATTCAGTAACCTTTAGAAATACAGATGTACAAAGTTAACATTTTTATTTATTGCTTTATTTATAATTCATGAATTTTAGAAATTCAAATAAACCATATTGAAGAAATTTTTATGTGATCTACTTGCAGCTGTACAAGAAATTAGATAATTTAATAATATTTCTTAGTGTTAATGGTGATTAGCTTTTATCCTTGTATGTTTGTAGGTAACAAGATTTTGTTTATCTGTGTAACTGCAAATTCAGCTGCCTAAATATATTTATTTAAGGGACAAGATTGAGTTCAAGGTAGATGTTTTAAAATTTTCAAAGCAGAGCAGGCATTTGGCCGAGTGATTAGGGCACTGGTTATGACACCTATGTTCCACATCACAGAGCCTGAACTTGATTCTAGCTTCTTACTGATGCAGACCCTGGGAGGCACTGGTGATGGCTCAAGCAATTGGATTCCAGCCACCCATATGAGAGACTTGGATTAAGTTCCTGGCTGTAGCCTTTGATCCCCCTGCCCATTTCAGGCATTTAGGGAGTGGATTATCAGATGGGAGCTTTCTCTCTGTGTCTGTCATGTTCTCTCAAATTTTTAAAAAAACAAAAATTTTCAAAGGGGATACTATCAGTTTTTTGTTTGTTTAAGGCATTGTGATACAAAAATAAGGTCAAGTTTCTATAATATATTTACTTTTAGGTCTAGTATTTGCATCCATCCAAAAATCATTTCTCAGTTCAGAGAGTTTGTTTCAGGAATTGTTCTGTATTTATATGAGAATATTTTCACTGACCTGTGGCCAAATCGTTGTCACAAAGACACTTTCCCTGGTATAACCCACACTGGCCTGCCATCTCCCTCAGGACATGACTGTCCTTTATTGTTGGGACCCAAAATACAGCTTCCAGCTATTGATGAAATTTAATGTGCTTGTTTGGGGAATGGAACTTATAACCTTGACCTCATTTAATCCATTCTCTCAGTCCTGCTATTGTGATAGAAAAAAATTAAATGTATATGAAAATTAGCTAGAAAGTGATACATTATTCTGTTTAGGAGTAGACCAGCAAGTAATGAGACAGTCTAATTGAATTGTTGCATACAGTAAGGATTTTTTTTTTAATAATGTAAGATGAAACCCTCAGGTAGGTGATTGTACCTCTTTAGGCCTCATGCTCTCCTGAAAACAAGCACCAGCAGTCATAGACTTGGCTTGGCTCAAGCCACAATACCCCTAACGCCTGCTGTCAGGTCATCCTGCCCCATCCAGGGCACAGCAAAGAATGGTTTCATGGACGGGTGGGCTCCAGCAGATTTGTTGCAGGCAGGGAACTGGTCGTGGAGGTTGCAGATCACATTCTGGGTTGTTCAGACAAGACTGGGAAAAGAAATATAACACAGCTGTGCCTTCTTGGTGTCTCATTGTAAGTTTAGATTGTTATTTTTGTGGTTTTCTGAGCCTTTTTAATATTTCTTTTAAAAAAATTTAAATACTTTAAAAGAACATTAGGGTAGATGTCTGAGACAGACTCCTCAGTAACTGCTGTACTTACTAGTTCTGTGAAGGTAGCAGATGGCCTCTCTACTTGGCCTGAGTTTTATTTGCAGAAAATAAATCATGTCACCAGCCCTTCCCATTACTGAGATTTTTTTCACAAAGATAAAAATAAAAGGTGAGAAGTTTTTTAAATTTTAAAATACTTAAGTACAAGTATTATGTATTAACTTCTCAAAATGATCTAACTTGGACTTTGCTCAGTCTATATGGTGATTTTTACTTGGAATCAGACAGCCATTTTCTCCCCATTTTCTTGATGAAGTGTATCATTGCTAGAGCCAGACAATGCTTGTGGTATATTTGAAACAACAGCTATACCCACAAACTTACAATAATAATCCTACAATCCATTTTTTATCTCTTTTAGGTGAATGGTGATATTCCCCCTCGGTTAAAAAAAAGTGCTCATGAAATCATCCTGGACTTCATCAGATCAAGACCTCCTTTAAATCCAGTATGTAGTTGTCATGTTCCTTGTGTTTGGAGACTACATAATGAATTCTCTAGAATGTCAACCCCAGAACACAGCTTCTCTAAGGGGTTAGCTTTTCCTCTTAGCTTTTATGCTAAGAATGATGAAGCTCACCTGTAAATTTATGCTTCAGCCACAGAAAAATATTTAAAATTATTCAATACAAGGCTGTCTCAAGATGTTTAAAACACGTGGATCATGCTGCAAAATCTAGCCAAAGGCTTCCAGTCGTAATGGCTAAGATATAACACTTGAGAGTTCCTGGTATAGATTGCTCTTCCGATTTACTTTATAATACTACTACTCCTCTGCCATAATCTACTGTATGTTAATTAGCTTCCTCTGTTAATAGGATTTTTTGTAATGACCATGGAGTCAGGCTGTTACAGTTCTCCTTTGAACATGAGTTTTTGTTTCCTTTGTTCTTAAATTCCTTTCCTCTGGCTCACCAGCCAGTGCTCACCAAAGCCTTCCAAAAGGAACTAGATAGGGAAGGCATAATTAGCAATCCCTTTTATAACTCTTTTAGAAAGAAGGGAAGGTGACCACCTGGAAAATGAGTTTAGTAAAGCAGGTCATAGTAGAGCAGAAAGAACATGAAGTCAGATGAGCCTAGAGTTGCGCACTGGCTCCAGAGTTCAGCAGCCATCTGTCTCTGTGGAAGGCAGGCAGCCTCCCTGAACCTTTCTGTCTCCCACTGTAGGATAAAGATATCATAATCTAAGAACATTATGGCGAGTTATTCAAATGGTAGTTTCACAAACAGTAATAGTAATAAAATGTAGCTTCTACTGTAGTTTCTTGCCTATCTTGCTAGCATATATGGAACATATTTAGCAGTTTTATTAAAACTGCTTGAAATTAGTGGAGCCCACATGACATAATCACTGTTAAATTCAATAATTGCAGGGCTCGCATTGTGGTGCAGCAGCTTAAGTCTCCACCTGTGATGTCGGCATCCCATATGGGCACCAGTTCAAGACTTATCTGCTCCATTTCCAATCCAGCTTCCTGCTAATGTGTCTGGGAAAGCAGCAGAAAATGGCCCAAATCCTTGGGCCCCTACACCCCACATGGGACACCTGTATGAGGCCCCTGGCTCCTGGCTTCAGCTTAGCTGTTGCAACCATCTGAGGATTGAAGAAGCAGATGGAAGCACACTCATGCGCTCGCACGCACGCGCTCTCTCCCTCTCTCCTCATCTCATCTCTCTCTCCTCATCTCTCTCTAACTCTGCCTTTCAAATAAATAAAAATAAATCTTTAAAAAAAGTCAGTAATCGGCCAGCGCCGTGGCTCAATAGGCTAATCCTCCACCTGTGGCGCCGGCACACCGGGTTCTAGTCCCGGTTGGGGCGCCGGATTCTGTCCCAGTTGCTCCTCTTCCAGGCCAGCTCTCTGCTGTGGTCCAGGAGTGCAGTGGAGGATGGCCCAAGTCCTTGGGCCCTGCACCCGCATGGGAGACCAGGAGAAGCACCTGGCTCCTGGCTTCGGATCAGCGCGGTACGCCGGCTGCAGCGGCCATTGGAGGGTGAACCAACGGCAAAGGAAGACTTTTCTCTCTGTCTCTCTCTCACTGTCCGCTCTGCCTGTCAAAAAAAGTAAATTAATTAAAAAAAAAAAAGTCAGTAATCTCCTTATCACTTTAGAATTTTTTTTTTTAAAAAAGGGATTTCTTTACTTATTTGAAGGGCAGAGTTACAGAGAGAGAGGCAGAGGTAGAGAAAGAGAAGTCTGCCATCTGCTGCTTCACTCTCCAAGTGGCTACAATGGCCAGGGCTGGGTCATAATGAAGCCAGGAACCAGGAGTGTAGGGGCCCAAGCACTTGGGCCATTTTCTGCTGCTTTCCCAGGTACACTAACAGGGAGCTGGATCACAAGTGGAGCAGCTGGAGCTCAAAGTGGCGCCCATATGAAATGCTGTCTCTGCAGATTGAGAGTTAACCCACTATGCCACAGCACTAGCCCTTGCTTTTGGAAACTTGATATTGAGTGATTTGAAAAGCTTTTTATCAAGCAATGAACTATAACTCATAGTACTATCTGTGTGAATGAACTTCAGTAAAAATCATTTAAGGACAAAACCTCCAATCTCGTTACTATGCTTTTTCTCCCCCAAGGCCTCAGCCAGAAAACTGAAACCAACCCCACCTCGGCCACGCAGCCTCCATGAAAGAATACTAGAAGAAATTAAGTCAGAAAGAAAACTGCGACCTGTCTCACCAGAAGAGATCAGACGGAGCCGATTAGGTGAGTCCACTGCCTCCTGCACCCCTCATCTAGAGTCCTCTTGAGAGAAGAGTCTTTAAAGAATCAGCCCTGTGAAAATAGCAGTGCAAAATAAAGATAATCCAGGGTGTTCTCATTCCTTGTTCATTGCCCTCACACATTCTCATGCACACTGCTCACACTACTTAAGTCATGGAACAGGAAATCCTTTCCTAGCTGATGTTAGACATGATGAAAAGAGCTTGTGTATCTCTAGACAGAGGCCTTAGGAGAGTCTCTTACCTGTGTGAGAGCCATTTTCTCCGTCAGCAGAGGGGGGTAAAAATTCCTCTTTATCCACAGGATAGCCTTTATGTAAGAATTAAATAGGATTTCAGTCAAAATAATTTCAACTTGTAATGAATGAACAAAGATAAGTACTAGTACATTTTAGAAATACAAATGATAGCTGGCGCCGCGGGCTAATCCTCCGCCTTGCGGCGCCGGCACACCAGGTTCTAGTCCCGGTTGCCCGTCTTCCAGGCCAGCTCTCTGCTGTGGCCAGGGAGTGCAGTGGACGATATCCCAAGTTCTTGGGCCCTGCACCCCATGGGAGACCAGGAGAAGCACCTGGCTCCAGCCTTCGGATAGGCGCGGTGCGCCGGCCGCAGCGCGCCAGCCGCGGTGTCCATTGGAGGGTGAACCAATGGCAAAGGAAGACCTTTCTCTCTGTCTCTCTCTCTCACTGTCCACTCTGCCTGTCAAAAAAAAAAAAAAATACAAATGATTGATATATAATTTTACTTTGTTTCTAGCATCTTAATTACAGGTTCAAAGAATTAGAATTATTTAATGAAAGCATCAATTATTGTCTGATATTGCTTAACTTAGCCCCAAACTTCCTTTATTTTTAGTATATACTATAAGCACACATTAATTTTTACTTATAGCAAGGCCATTTTATAAGTTATCAATATTTTTATTTATTCTGCTCTCCTCAAACTTGTAATGTAAAAGATTATCCACAGCATTCAGGGAAATTTCCTTAAGGAACAAGGATAGAATGGTACTTGAGTGGAAGAGGAACTGGTTTTGTGGCACAGCTCTGCTGGTGTTCTCCTCTGATCTCTTCTTCTACATCCTTCAAACCCTTCTTGGTCCTTGGTCCTTCAGATATCCTATCCCGGTTTCTCTTCTCGCTTGAAAGCTACACTGTCCAGTCCCCCCACCACCACCAACACACACACACACTCAGTTTTTGTTTCTGGCTACCTTCTAGCTCCCAGTCTACAGCACAGATCTTTAAAAATTCAGTTCCATACATCCAGCTCTCTGCTAGATAGGACCTCTTCATATCCTGTCTCTTCAAAATGATGTTTAAAGTGTGCTGAATGACAAGTCCAATCCTTATAAACCATGCAAAAGTTCTTCCCCCCAACCACCCCAAAAGAAAAAAAAAACAACTGTGTATTTCACAAAGTAAATGTTATGTACATTTTCCTGGAAAACGTTTCTGTAGCTTTTCTCAATTCCTGAAGGATCCATAGTTTCAAAAGGATGAGAACCACCTTGGAAAAAATAAGGAAATTGTACTAAATGATAGTTTAAGACCTACTTTTGGGATGGTTGTTGTAACACAGCAGAGTAAGCTGCCTCTTGGGAGCCAGAAATTCTGGCTTTTCCACTTTGGACTTAGCTTCCTGCTAATCCACCCTGGGAGACAGCAGATGATGGCTTAAGTAGTTGGTTCCCTGCTACCCATAAAGTTCTAGGCTACTGACTTCAGTCTGGCCCATCCCTGGCTGTTGTAGGCATTTGGAGAGTTAATCACAGGATAGAAGATCAATCAGTCTATCTGTCTGTCTCTCTCTCTCCTTCCTCCCCTCGCCCCTCCTTGCAAATAAATAAAGATACCTTTTTTAAAAAAAAAAAAAAACTTATATTTTTAAAAAGTACTGTACCTTGAGAAACTACAAAGGTAGTAATAGAAAATATCTCAACCTAAATATTGAAATAAAACAAATGTATTACCATGAGACTAGTATGCTTCATGATTTATAGGAGTAGAGTAATTAGGGTTAGGGATTGTAAACTTCAATGGAAGTACCAAGTGAATACAGAAAGAAAAAGGAAAATGTGCTTGTGGGGTTTGGATTCATATTTAACAATGATTCTTTAGTTTTTCTAAGAATTTTGTGAATCTGTATTATCACTGTGTCAGCAACTGAGGATATAGAGAAAATTAGGCAGTCTCTGCTCACAGAATGCTTCCAGAATAGTGACTCTGAAATGCCCTGCATGTTTGTGCTGTAAGGGATGTAAAAACGTTACAACAACAGCCAAGCAGGGTGACTTTAAATGAGTCTGTTTAAGGGAGGATGTAAAAGAGAGACTAGGGCTGGTGCTGTGGCATATTGGGTTAAGCCTCCACTTATGATGTGGGCATCATATATGGGTGCCAGTTCATGTCCCAGATGCTCCTCTTCCATTCCAGCTCTCTGCTTGTGGCCTGGGGAAGCAGTAGAGGATGGCCCAGGTGCTTGGGCCGCTGCACACACATTGGGGACCCCGAAGTAGCTCCTGGCTCCTGCCTTAGATCAGCCCAGCTCTCAGACCATTGCAGCCATTTGGGAAGTAAACCAGTGGAAGGAAGACTCGACTCTTCTCTTCTCTCGCCCTCTCCTCCTCTCCCCCTCTCCCCCTCTCCCCTTCTCTCTCTCTGTCCCTCTCTCTCTATCTCTTTCACTCTCCCCCTCTCCCCCTCTCTCCCTCTCTCCCCTCTCTACCTCTCTCCCTCTCTCCCTCTCCCTCTGCCTCTCTCTGTCTCTCTCTCTCTGCCTCTCAAATAAATAAATCACATAGAGACTCCTTTTTAGGAGTCAAGAGGACACTCCCCCATTGTACCTAAGTGTCATAGCAAACATTTTTTTATTGTGGTAAGAACACTTAACATGAAATCTACCTCTTAACAAATTTTAAGTGTATGTTTATACACTGTATAATGACTGTAGGTACAGTGTTGAATAGCCAGTCTCAAGAACTTGTTCATCTTGTTTGACTGCTACTTAATGCCCATGGATTAGTAACTTCCCATTCCTTCTCCTCCGAGCACCTGGTAACCACCATTCCACTCTCTGATTCTATGGATTTGGCTATTTTAGATACCTCATTTAAATGGAATCATGCAATGTTTGGCTTTCTGTGACTGGCTTATTTCACTCAGTATTATATCCTGAAGGTTCATCCATGTTGTCACATATTGTTACATTTCCCTCTTTTATAAGACTATTGTGTTACATTTTCTGTGCATACCGTATTTTCTTTATCCATTCATCTGTTAATGGGCATTTAGGATGTTTCCATATACTGGCTTTTATAAACAAGGAAGCTAACATTGTAATTTCAATTTTTTTGCCTTTATATCCACAGTTGGGATTGCTTGATTATTTATTAATTGTGTTTCAAATTTCCTGAAGGATTGCTATACTGTTCAATAGCAGCTGTACCCTTTTACATTCCCACCAACTACAAGGGTTCTAGTTTCTCTACACATTGTCAACACTTGTCTTGTTTTGAATAGCCATCCTAACAAGTGTGGTTTTGATTTTTATTTCCCTGATGACTAGTTACAGTGAGCATTTGTCATATACCAGTTGGCTATTTGTGTACCTTCTTTGGACAAATAGTCCCATTTGCCTATTTGTTGGCTATTTATATACCGTTTTTAGAGAAATAGTCTCCTTTGCCTATTTTTTTGATTAATGAATTAATTTATTTAAATTGAAAGGTGGAGTGGAAAGACAAAGAGAAACAGAGAGAAATCTCCCATCTGCTGGTTCACCTCCCTAATGGCCACAATAGCAGGGGCTGGGCCATGCCAAAACAAGGAGCCAGGAACTCCATTTGGTCTCCCACATTGGTGGTAAGGGCCCAAGTACTTGAGCCATCATCCAACACTTTCCCAGGCACCTAAGCTGGGAGCTAAATTAGAAGTGAAGCAGCCAGGACTCGAACCGGTACTCCGATAATGGGATGCCTCCATTGCAGATAACAGCCTAACCAGCTGCTTCACAATGCAAGCCCCCTTTGTACATTTTAAAATAAGATTATTCATCTTTTTACTGTTGACTTATAGGAGTTAAATACATATTTTCACGTTACTGAGGGTCCTCAACTACACTGTTTTTTAAAAATATTTTGCACCAGAATACACTTACTTTTTGAGTTGTTTTCCACAATTTTTTTTTTTTGACAGGCAGAGTGACAGTGAGAGAGACAGGGAGAAAGGTCTTCCTTTTGCCGTTGGTTCACCCTCCAATGGCCACCGCAGCTGGCGCACCGCGCTGATCCGATGGCAGGAGCCAGGTACTTATCCTGGTCTCCCATGCGGGTGCAGGGCCCAAAGACTTGGGCCATCCTCCACTGCACTCCCAGGCCACAGCAGAGAGCTGGCCTGGAAGAGGAGCAACTGGGACAGAATCCGGCGCCCCGACCGGGACTAGAACCCGGTGTGCCGGCGCCGCTAGGTGGAAGATTAGCCTAATGAGCCACGGCGCCGGCCTTTTTTTTTTTTTTTTAATGTATTTATTTATTTGAAACACAGAGTTGCAGAGAAAGGGAAAGACAGATCTTCCTTCCATCCTCTGGCTCACTCCCCAGATGTCTGTAACAGCTGGATCTGGGCCAGTTCAAAGCTAGGAGCTTCCTCTTGATCTCCCACATGAGTGCAGAAGTCCAGGTACTTGGCCGTCCTCTGAGCTGGATCAGATGTGGAGCAGCTGGGACTCAAACTCATGCCCATATGGGATGCCAGCACAGGCAGCCGCCTTACCTGCTAAGCCACAGCACCAGCCCCAACTTAAAATGCTTTGATTTAGATTTTTTCAGCTTTGCAATGGTACAAAAGCAATAGGCATTCAGTAGAAACCACACTTTGTGATATTTTCCTTGGCTAACAATATGCAATAGAATCCTCTCTAAGCATGCTGGGCAGAGGCAGTGAGCCTCAGCTCCCAGTCAGCCCCACAGTCATGAGGTTTCCC